GAAGGGTGAAGGCGAGAGTCGCGGCGCGCGCCAAAGCGCGTCGCGCGCGTTCGAACACGTGATGCCGTTTCTGCGCGTCTTTTTCGTGTTGTGTGTGTGTTGCTTGCGCGCAGCGAACGGCACGCAATCCTTGCCCATGCAATTCACGATCGTGCTTGCTCTTGATTGCTGCCTGCACCGCTTGACTGCGAACAATTAAGCGGCAGAAGCGGGGCAACCGCGAGGATATTACGTTGCCCGCTACTTGACTCACGACTGCCATCTCTCATCACCCCCATCTCTCACGCCCATGAGACTTTTGTTCAGATCCGAGCGCTTCGATCGCACATGAGAACCGGCATAGGTGGGATCATGACAGTCACGTAGCACGCGCTTCGCAATGAAGATTCAAAGTGTCGCCGTCAAAGATTCAAAATTGCACAGAAGCGACTCGAGGGATAAGATACAGTTGTGGTGGGCACGTGCAGATCGCACACACGGAGGAAGGAGGGACGATGAGACAATGGGGGCACTTTTATGAGGGATCCTACAACGCTCGGCAATTCACGTGCCGAAGGGGAATGGAAGGACGCCATTCGCAGATCAGAGTGTGAAGAGGGAGACGATGATTATGCCCGTCAACGTGGAGAGGGTGACACAAGCGTTGGCGAGAGCCAGAGTAGCAGCGCCGTTAGACGATCCATTGCCATTCCCATTACCATTGGAGCCGCGTCCTCCTGTCCCGTTCATGTTTCCTCCGAGGAGACCATTGTTGATGCCACCGTCACTGCCGTTGGCTCCCTGCCCGTTGGTGCCGTTGCCTCCGCTGGAAGCGTCGTGCGTCGTGATGGTAGAGTTGCGATAACCCTCGTTGGAATTGTTGCTATCAGGTCCCGGAACGGAGTTGCCTTGCGAAGAAGCGGAATTCTGGTAGCTGATAGGTCCAGCTACAGCGCTGTTGGCGCTGCGTTGAGCGCTCTGGGCAGCCTGTTGCGCACGCGCCTCATTGTACGTCTCTTCCCCAAGCACATTGTCCAGAAGATGCATGACTCCTCCTCGGAACATGATGTCGTATTGCACAATCTTAGCAGTGGACTGACCGACGGTGATGGAGTTGGCTTTCTGGTCGTAGACCACATTCTGACCCGCTGCATTGATCATCGATCCTTGTTGACCCAACAAGACTCCATACGCTGTCCTGTAGGCCAAAATGTGCTGCTTGATTAGAATTTCCAATTTGCTCTGGTCCTGCTGAACGCCTTTGCTTTGGACGTATCGCTGCAAGGCCTCGTCTGTGGGCACAAAGATCGTAGCTCCGCGCAAATCATCTAGCGATTGACCAAAGCTCTGAGCTTGCAGAGCGTTGAGCAGTTGCGAGTGCGAGGAGAGGTAGGCCAACGTAGCGGTGGCATTGCCCGGGACCGTCATGGCGCGCGCCAAGGGTCTGACGGCGACGTCACCGAATTGAAAATCGTTACTTGGCACGAAAGAATTGGTGTTGGAAGCCTCCTGAACGACGGCGTTGCCACCGTCGAAAGCCAGTGCTACCGCTTGTCCATTGCCGCCAGGAAGATTTGCGTATTGAGAGTCGGTGAGCAGAGAGTGACCAACGAGGTTCAAGGGCTTTGCGGGAATGAGGCTCAGATCATAGGTGCCGTTCAGGGCGTGCATGAGTAGCGTAGACTGCAGCAGTCTCTCGTTCGAGGTGACCCATTGTGGAAGACCAGTGATGGCGTCATCGTCGGGTGCCAAAAAAGTCTTTGTCCCTGGAGACTCCAAAATAGTGCGCGCCACGTCCTGATTGTTCTGCAGCGTGTCGGCCAGCTTGCCTAGGTTGTGAGACTTGAGCTCTTGAATGAATCCATTCACCTCGGTTTGGACATTGTGTTGATCGCGCATCGTGATCATACTGCGGCGCTGGTAGTTGGACGGCAACACGACGGCACCGGTCAAGGCTGACAGCACGAAAAGGGTTGCCATGGAGCGAAAGATCTGCATGATGAAAAAGTCGCTGTTTGCTGTAGAGATGGGGGTAGGCGAAGAGGTCCTCGGCTCAGGGAGGGGATTGGCGTATGCGGTCAGCGGACGAAGTGAACGAAGTGAGCGTGTAACAAGAATCGAGTATACGTTAGTCGAGGGTGCGGCGATGGAACGGGGATTAAAGGATAGGGTGTGGAGAGGGAGAGGAGGGATGGATGGCGAAAGTGGCGAAGAAGGCCACCCTCCGTCCAAGTCGTACTTTTATACTGATGACGCATCAACGTCGAGTCGAGCGCACACAGGCACAAGTGCACAGCAAGCTGGAGAAAGCAAACGCTAAATAAAGGGAGGAGGTTTGCGGTCGACGCCGAGGTAAAGGGTGCGCACGCATGCCAAACACGAACACCGCCCAGGCACGGCTTGCAGAAGTTGGGATCTAGTGCAATGCACATACCGAGACTTCCTAAGATCTGGCCTTTGCCGTCTTTGCCAAGCCCTCATCTCAGCTTCCTACAGCGCAGCAAAGCAAGATTTGTGCTGAGAGCCTAGACGACTTCATCTTGGCCCGCTACGATCGGATCGCGTCGCCTTTATCCAAATTCGTGAGTATATAGCACAGAAGCACACCTTGTTTCGCGCTGACTGTCGTGCATGCCACTTCGAGCAGCTTTCAGACACAGCCGGCAAATTGGTGCAATTCGAGGGCAATACGCAAACATGAGGCCAAGCAGCCTCCTTACCGCTTAATGCGATTTGCAGTGAGGCGACTGTCTCACGGACGCTCGGATCGCGTCACGATCGAACCAGACGCAGGGATGGAAAGCTTAGGTGAGATGAGGCTGATCGGAGTTATTGAGGGCAGCGACTTGCAATGTGCGGGTTCGCGAGTTGTCCGTCGTGAGTGCTCAAGTGCAAAAAGTGTGAATGACGAATGGGCCTCTGGATGGAACACAAGAAGAGCTAATGTGAATGTAGACCACCCCTGTGCCGTTACTCTACCGGACTGGCTGACGACTCACGCATGACTACCGCTGATGGTCGTCCAGCAGCCCATGCATGCGCGACTCGGCGCACCCCCTTGCAGTTGGCAGGCGCGCGCGCCACCGACTCTCGATTGCGCGTGTCAATCCACACGTGACACGACGAGCAAAAGAGACGTGGGGCTATTTGAACCGCTCTTTCCCGATGTGATGAGCCTGGTGATCTCAGCTATTCCTTTGGAAATCCGAGATGGTCAATCCTGAATGCGTTTGGGGGATGTCATAGAGAGGGCATGGTGATCCCCGGCGCACGGTCGTGAGTCAAGAACAGCAGCAGAATTGTGGGCAGGGAGGTTGCGCATGCACGCGCCCGTGTTGCACTCGCGACTACTACTGATGCAACGTCGGCGCGAAGTACGACAGAGGACGCGTCGCGTCTGTCCTCTTTCCAGCCGCTCGTGTAAATTGGTGCAACCTCCAGCAGCAGCTAGCTGCGTGGCTGCGGGCCAGCAGCATTCCCGCTGCGACACACAGTCATGCATCACGTAGACATGCTTCTTCGACATACAGAGCGCTGAATGCCATGCATATAGACCATCTGCACTCGACCATACCGACCATTCAATCGCCATCTTGTTCCAGATCGACGAATCCTTGATCTCGCCTTCGACTTTTGCGATCTCGTCTGCTCATTCGTCCTGTATGGCCCTTGTTGCCTCCACTCATCCGCTTCATAACAAAACAATTCCGATATTCAGCGATCACGCGGCCAAGAAGCGTGTCCCAACAGGCGTTTCCGCTAGGTATTGCAACCTTGTCGAGATCGCGCCGTATCCTATACCTTCCCCGCCACCAAAGGGTCTCGAAAAGCGCTCTCCTTTCTCCTAAGTTTCTCCTGCTCCAAACGCACCGCTTGACTCGCACTGACGCTCGCCATGGCTCCAAAGAAAAGAGTAGAGTCGGGAGCGGGAGCGGGAGCTGGAGCTGGTGATGTGTCCGTCGCCAGCGCATCGGGAGCTGCTGCGGGAGACCAATCTACCACGGTGTTCGATACGAGCGTCACTGCGCAGATGAACACCGGAGAGGGTATAGATCAGTTCGAACTGGCTAGGTCTCAAGTACAGAAGGCTGCCAAGGGAGGTGTGAGTTGGCAAGTGGTGTGCGCTGGCTTTGAAATGGACTATGCTTGGTCGTACGATGGCGTGGAGGGGAGCGATGCTCGTGCTGCTTGCTCCTTTGCAGACGCGCTGACGAGAGCCGACTTCTCCCACCTCGCATTGCAACCTCGATCGCAGCTTCCTGCTTCTGTCCAGCTGCGCAAAGAAGTGCTCTTGGCGCTCATGAAGGCATCGACGGTGTTCATCAGCTACACGAGTGAGTCGAGGCTTGTCAAGCTCCGTCCAGAATCGATTTTGATTAATTTGCCTCTTTGTCCATCTGGTCTGGAATCTGAGTAGCCGCTGCAGCTAGGGAAGTTGCAGAGGCGGAGGGACGCAAGAATTTCAATCCTTCGGATATCTTAAGGGTCCTCTCTTCGCCCGAGATGACCACCTTTCACCACAACAGGACTGTCGTCGCGGATCTGAGAAAGGACTTCGAAGGTGAGTTTGGGAATTGTGTTGTTGCTCAACTACACACTCTTGGAAAGCGCTGACACGCAATGATGATGTTGCTCGATCGACCTATTCACGCTTCTCCACTTGGGACAAGCTGCGAGCCGAAAGACGAAACAGGCTAGAGAAGAGGCTAAGGCGAAGAGGGCGAAGGCGGGGGAAGAAGCCAGATTGGGCTCGTCAGGCTTAGCTCAAGTCGGTGAAGAGGAGAGGTCAAGGATGGAGGTGGATGGCGATGAGGCAGGGGCGGCTGCGGCAGAGGAAGCAGAGGAGGCGGCAGAGGGATCGGTGGAAGAAGAGGAGAACGATGACAATGAAGAGCAGGAGGGTGATGATGATGAAGATGAAGAAGAGAGTGATGAACAGGCTGACGAGGAGGAGGAGGATGCAGCTGAACCGAAGAGCCAGAGACAAGAGCAAGAAGAAGAGGAGGAGGAGGAGGAGGAGGAGGAAGATTGATGTCGGTTGCAGTGCGTCGTAGTACGCAAAGCTCTGCCAATAGATGCTGGTCGTGCAATCACGAACACAGCCTCTCCGAACGCGAGTGATCGACAAGTCCTGCGCTCGTTCACGCTGTCGTGTGGAGGCGCTCGAAGGTGTATACCAACCAACACACCACGCAAGCTTAAGATCATGGATCGTATTGCATCTGCTCGCATTCTAGAAGTGGGCTGACATGCTGTTCCGGCTGACAGGACAATGCGGAGCAAGAACCTACATGGCAAGTGGTCAAGGATGTACGACAAGGGGCTTAATTGCCGAGCAGAGCGCTTCGCTCGTCCTCATCGCCGTCTTCACGCCTAGCCTCCGCGTTTCGCCCTCGCTCTTGCTCTTCTCTTCGCCTCTCATCGCTCCAATCGTAGTTGAGCGCTCCTTCGTCCTGCACGATTGCAGGTCCGTACAGCACGTAGTGTTGCCAGATGATGATGCAGTCAAAGATGAGTGTCAGAAGGGACAGGCCGCTGCATTGCAGAAGATGGAATGGCCAAAAAGAGGTGAACGCTCTGTCAGCTTCTACAAGAGATCATCGCACGCCCTCGAGAGACGGTGCGCATGCAAGGGTTCGCGCTGCCCCTCACTCACATCTTTCCTGGATCACCCGTTACGGCCCTCCAGCTGCCCAGGATCCTGGCGTCTACAGCTATTTGTGCCAGGCTCAGGATACCGCCTCCCAGATCCAGAATGACGTTGGTCACAGCAAAGCCTCTAGTTGAGCGGCGTCTGTAATTGAGCGCGATTTGAGGCTGTGGGAGTGCCAGTATTATGGATGAATTCAGCATCCATGCCAATGACGCATAGGGGTTCAAAGCAAGCAGCCGCATACACGCGGTCCTGATCCACTCACGAGCCATTTGAGAATGGTGATGATGAGCTTGATGGAGCTGCAGACCCAGATAAAGTCGATCCACCTCCACCCAGCCAGATTGGCCTCGTCTGGATTTCCATCGCCAATGTCTCCGGGTGGCAGGTGTCCCTGATCGCTCGCTGTGGCCGCGATGCCAGCGAGGATGAGAGCGGTGGATAGAAGGCCGAATACGGACCAGGCCCATCGAGCAACGTTTTGCCCGGGTGCCTTTGGAAAGATGGCAGCCATGATGGCCTGAGCTACGCACAGTACCAGACCGTGCACGGCGAAAGCCACATCGTTGGCGTGCTGCTCCGGGTACTGTCCCCCATGTCGCAAGGCATACTCTTCTCGAACTCGAGCATTGCCGAACAGAGCCAAAGTGGTCAGCGTGTAGCAAAAGAATCCGAGCGTGTTGAGCAGGACGAAGTCGGAGGATAGACCGGCAGAGGTACGTCGCTTTAGCAGGAGCAACGTTTGGGGCCAGAAAGAGGCGGACCAGAGAAGAAAGTAGGACCAACCTAGGAAAGAGGAGAGAAGAGGCAGAAAGGATGGGAATGGCATGCTGACCTGAAA